TAGGACTCATTCTCTATGTATGGTCCCCAGACCAGAAGCATCAGTATCACCTGGGAATATGCTAGAAATGCAGGTTCTGAGGCCCCACCTTAAACCTACTGAATCGGAAACTGTGGGACTGAGGCCCAGCAGTCTGCATTTAATAAAGCCTCCAGGTGATCCTGATGCACGCTGGAATTTAAGAACCACAGTTAGGTAATGTTTAAAGGTGGGGTCACAAACTCAAATGTACAAAGGGCCAGAGAATCAAAATCAAGGAACCACGTCAGGTAAAATACGGTAGCAGGGTCAGTGGAGTGGCAGAGACAGCGTGCCCAGGCTGCGGGGCTGGCGGCCACTCAGCTACCGCCAGCTGATGCCAAGTGTGAGTCCACGTGGGGCTGGTATAGTTAGAGCTTCTGATTTTCCAAAAGAAACACAAAATCGTGATTTTAGGAGAAATCTTTAAATGCTTAAATGTCAGCTTAATCTTTCTTAACATAGTATGGGCCAAGACGATTATACGTCAGAGCCAAACTCAGTTGTGCACTGCCATTTTTCAGCCTCTGTTCTGAGTTTTTTCCTTCGACCTTCATCACAATAAACTCTACGCACTGGCTCTTGCCTTTCTCCAGACCCTGAACTCCCAACCTCCTTTCCCCATTCAGCAGGCTCTTATTCATATGCCAATGCCCAACTCCAGGGGCACTTTCACTGTGAATTTATTCTCAACCCTTTGCCCCACTTTCCACCTCTCACAAAGAAGACAGAGAAGAATCAAACAGGAGGCCAAAGAATTGACACACAGAAGGTGACACCGAGGAGGAAGACATGGAGAAGTTACAAAACAGTCTTTTCCCACAGAGGAGGAATTAGGACCTCTTGGCAGTTACCCTCCTGCTGCTTGAAAAATCACCCAAATAAGGACACTGATCCCATTTGACCAGAATTTAACAAAACGAAGTTTTAGAAGGGTAAATATGAAGAAACACAAAAGCAGAAGTCAAAGGCTAGATTAAAAAACAATTGGTACAAAAATACCTGGGACTTTTTGCTGACCGAGAGTTCACTGTGTCAATCATGTGGTAAAACAATCATTAAAGAGGCAAACACTTTCACGGGTCTTATTATGAGAAATAAAGTGTCTGGACAGCCCTGCTCTGCCCTGAGCTGCTCAGACCTTCCTAGAGTATTCTGACTGGTTCTGAATAGTAACTTCTGTCAGTCAGAGGAGACCTGAAGCATGACTCAGGGAGAGCGACTGATATGGGGACAGAACACAAAGACAAATTCCAGGAGGATGATGGAAGGAACCTGAGACATCTGCCCACAGGCAGGAAGGACCGGTGGATGGTCATGATTCCTGCCTTCAAGCAACTGACAGGTTTCGATGTGGGTCTGATCTGTTTGGCCCTCTAGGGATGATCAGGACCCGTTGGTGAAAACACTACAAGATTCCATTTCGGCATTTGGGAGAATTTTCTATTGATCACGGATGTCCCCACATGGAATGAGCTATTGTGAGAGGTAAGGAGCATTCTTTATTGAGGGACATCTAGCAGAGGCGTACAGCTGCTGTAGAGGATGATAAAAGGGCTGGAAAAGAGAGTCCAGTGGCCATCTCCTGTTTTATTTCTCCCCTCTTCTTGTATTTCTCCTACTTTTCTTGGGGAACCACCTCTCACCCATTCTTAGTCCCATGGGTCAGGTGGAACTGAGAGTGCATCTGGCTTCAGGGACGGGTATGTTTCCTGGCCTGGTGAGGCAGAGCCTTGCAGCGCCGCCGCCACAGAAGCAGCCCAGGGTGTGCTCACGTGACCCGTGCTGGACCAATCAGAGACCAAAAAATCCCATTCTGTGAAAAGGGACTTGAAGCAGAGAGGATGTAAGCCTGGAGATGCCAGGGGCCTCTGGTTATCACATGGCGGGGGGCTGACTATGAAAGAGCCCCTAGCCTCCCCCCCGCCAAAAAAAGGGAAACAGGGAAAACAGGAGCAGAGTTGCAGAGAGACAGAATTCTAGTAACATCCTTTGTTCCCCTGAAGCCCCCCATGCCTGAAGCCAGGCTTATGACTAGTAAGATCCCTTTTTCTCTTAAAGCAGGGTAAGCTGCATTTCTGCTGTCTGCCATCGTAAGAGTCCTGATCACTAAAGATGGCCTCCTGGATCTCATTCAGTTTAATTTTACTATGGCTGATCCACATCTCACACTTAAAGCAAGGGCCACGTGCATGGGCTTCTGGAATTTGAAGTGCTGCCTCTAGTCATAAGAACAGACTCCACTTCTAAAGGGGAAGTAGAGAATCATGAAAAGGTAAGTTATGAAGTCAAACCACCTCCCGCATCAGTAAGAGGCTGGCAGGCGGGGCAGCTGCCCAGGCCAGAAGATAGGCACAGGACAGACACCTGGCCTAGTAGCCGCTCCCATCTCCTGCAGCCTCACTGCCAGAATGTGGCTTGGTAGAGCCCTAGGACCCCAGCTTAGACATGGGGAGTGGTTTCTGTTCTTAGGGATCACTGGCAAGCTACCATTTAATAAGCACCTACTAGATACCAGGCCTGGGGGACACTTGGCCCACCTCTATGTATTAAAGCGGCCCCCTGTGAAGTTGGCATTGTTACCATCTCCATTTCCCAGATGAGAAAACTGAGAGTCAGAGAGACTTGCCCAGGGTGCAGTGATAGGCGGTTCTGAAACAAACTCCAAAAGCCCAGCCACGCTGCCTCCTGCTGGTAATGACAAGGGGCCCAAAGCAACCAAGTCTGGGTTCTCCTTGCAGCCTCCCAACACTTTACTTCCTCACCTGTAAAATGGAGTGAGTGAGGATCCCCAGTCTGACCAGAGAGCAGCCTCCATAGTTGCTTTGAGGTCTGTGGGAACTATTATTATGTAAAGAGTGCCGGCCACCGTTCCGAAATTAGGTATAACTGATGCAACACAAAGGGGCCGTGCTGTGCAAAGTCAGACAGCCAGGCTCTGTCCGCGCCTCTCTCCAAACCCCTGTGGGCTGGGTTATTTCCTTTGTTCCACAGGCACAGGCCTGGTAACAAGGCAGCCAGGAGCTCAGCTGTAGACATTTTTTTCATTATTTTCCACCCTGTTAACCTCCATCACAAGTCAGGCTGCTGTCAGCCTAAATGAGAACTGAAAAGATTTATCTCACTTGTCCCAGGGCTCAGCTCAGGAAAAAGACCCTTCATTTCCTAAAGGCCTGGATGACCCTTTCTCTGTGAGTCACTCCCACCCAGGAAAAAAGATGTGACAGCAGCAGCAGGCGGGGGCTGGGAATGGAACCAACACCCCAAACTTGCAGACGTCTGGATCACTTCAGTTTGGCTTTGCAAAGCACTGTGTAATTTTTTTTTTCTTTGCACTGTATTTACCTTCCTAATTATGTTTGCTTATGCAAATATGAAAGTTAGCCCACATTTCATAAACACAACCCCAGAAGGAGACCAGAAGCATATTGTGTGGCAGGAGAAAATTAGCCTGCGATTACAATTTTGCTATAGAAGTAATCCTCACAGTGGACAATCCAAACGCAGACCATGGAGAGATGATTATATTTTCAATCAACTCGTCCCCTTCTTTGTGCTTCTAGCAATCTCAGGTCACCAAACCCCTGAAACTGGCACCTGGCAAGAAGAGATGAGCTAGATTCTTTTGGTAATAACAGTCCCTTAAATCTGCATAATAATAGTCAGCTTTCATGAGCATTTACTAAGTGCCAGGTGATGCTGTCCATGCTGTACACAGGAACAACAAGCCTGTTAATCCTTCCATCTGCCCATGGGTATTTATCTCTATCCCCATTTCACAAATGAGGAAACTGAGGCACAGAGCATTGAAGTAACAAACCCAATGATACACAGCTAATAAATGATGGAACCAGGATTAAGAACCCAAGAACTTAAGAATTCTGGACCCAGAGGCCACATCCCAAACCACTTTGTAATAATGCCACTCTCCCTGCACACCATTTGTTTAACCCTCACCCTCCCGGGAAGTAGCTGACCTTAACCCTGCAGGATAGACAAAGAGGATGAGTTTCACAGAGGCTAAATAACTTGCCCATTTTACAGACAAGGAAACTGACATCCACAAAAGTGAGTTTAGTTCTACAAACATTTGCACAGCACCTTGTATATGCCAGGTACTGTGCAGGGAACATGGGATACAGAGACCTCAGTGCTCCTTCCACACTCAGCTTCTGATTGTTTATATGGGTGAAACCTTTCTGAAGGCAATAAGGTACACTGTCAAAAGCCTTAAAAATGAGCATACTTTCAACTCTAAAATTCCCACTGCAGAAACTGATCCTAAGAAAGCAACAGAGAGTGTGACAAAGAAGCTCACAGCAGTGTTATTTATAAGAGTAAAATAACAGAAATAAACTTAAGTGCTCAACAATAAGAGATTAAATAAATTAGGGTACATCTATATAACGAAATACTATGTAACCATTCAAAATGTTATAGAAATATACTTATTGATGTGAGAAAATGTAATATAGTGTTATGTAATTTGTTAGGTGACATAAGCAGGTAGTAAAATCATATATGCATTATGATCTGACTTGGAAAAAATGCATATGTACACTAGAATATATACACATTTAAGCACTCTCAGAAAATGTATTTGCATTTGTACACATAGAGAAATTCCTAGGATATCAAAGTGATTATCTCCAAACAATGCCATTTCAGGTTATTTCAATTTTTGTGTGTGTGCTCATCTCCATTTTTTAAAATTTTCTACAGTGAACATGTACTACTTACCTAGCCATGCAAAGGTTTTTATTTTTGTGGCAGTGATTGCTGAAGTGGCTAAGACCACACACTCTTTAAAAGGCACATCCAGGGTTCAAACGGGCTCAGCCCTCAGCCACTTGCATCCTTCAATGCACCTGCCCCTCCTGTTCCCTTGTCTCCAAACCACATCCCACCCTGGCTGGTATAGTGTTACCATGGGCCAGCTTGGGGCAAAGACCTGCGACATGCGGGGCAGCCTACTTGCCCACCTTTTTGAAGAGTCTGATGACATCCTCACTGATCTGGGAGAGGCGGACGATTACATTGTTCATGAAGATGTCATTGAGGGTGGCATGGTCTCGGCTCTCCCGCCGGGTCTGATGCAGAACCAGATACCAGCAGTTCACAGGTGAGAGGAGGTACTGGTCCTTCCTGTGGAAACCAAGAAAGCTCAGGTTGGCTACATTGGAACTGTAATCAAACAGTGGTTTATGCTGTCATCCACCTCAGCTCTTTTGACTGCCATGGTGCCCCTTCAAGGTCAGTCTTGTTGTTACACATTATACAGCTGGGGAAACAGGCTGCAACAGCTGAAGGGATCCTCCAAGGTCACAGACCAGCACTGTGGCCAGAACTCAGGTCTTTGATGCCTATGCAGTTCTACTCTCCCACTGAATGTGGTGCTTGCTCCAGGTACCTCTACCTTCTGGGAAGAAGCTACCTCCCCTGGGGCTAAGAAATACTAAACCAATTGTGTTTTAAATATTATACTTGTATGATTTCTGGGACTATGCAATAGAAAGAACAAAAAGTAGATACTTCCACTCCCCCATTCTGCCTCCCTCAACCCCTGTAATTTTCTTGGGTTCTTAACTTATTTGTTCTTCCCTAGGGATTGGCTTCTGTCTCTTGGGCTCTTGGAAACGCATGCCTTTGCCCCTCCATGGAGCTGTTGGGAAAGGGGCTAAGAGGGTTCAGATTCTGTATTCAGGAGGAAGGGTTAAGGAAAATGCAAGTACCTACAAGACAAATAAACTCTTTGTCCTGCAGTGACTGATAGGTTATTAGCACTCTCTAGCTGCATGTGATGCTAAAGCAGGGGTTCTCAAAGTGTGCTCCCAGACCAGCAGCAAAAGCATGACCTGGGGACTGGTTAGAAATGCAGACTCTCCAATCCCACTCCAGACCTGTTGAGTCATGCACTCTGGGGGTGGGCCTGCAATCTGGGCTTTAACAAGCCCTCCAGAGGATTCGGATACTCACTCAAGTCTGAGAAACACAGATTCTTACACTATTGTTTCCCAAAGCTCAGGATGCTAATGAGACCAGAGAAAATCTGTCTCTTGGCTCTGCAGATGCTCCTCAACTTACTTTGGGGCTACATCCCAATAAACCCATCACAAGTTGAAGATATCCTAAGTTGAAAATGCATTTAGTAAGCTCAAACTACGGAACATCATAGTTTAGCCTACCCTACCTTACACGTGCTCAGAACACATTAGCCTGTGGATGGGCAAAATCGTTGCACACAAAGCCTATTTTCTAATAAAGTGTTGAATATCTCATGTAATTAGTTGACTGCTATCCTGGACGTGAAAAACAGAATGGTTTTATGTGTACTTAAAATATGGTTTATACTGAATGTGTATCACTTTCACAACACTGTAAATTCTCAAAATTCGAAGTCGACCCATGGTCAAGTTGAGGACCATCTGCATTTGCAAAGACCCCTCTGTGAGCCTCAGGAAAGGGTGGATACACCGTTCTCCAGGAAGGAAGAGAAAGGGCAATTCAAAAGCAAAACCAAACCAATAACCTTTTCCTGCCACGCAGGGCACGTGTGCTAAAGCTCTTGTCCTCTGACCTGGAGTCTCTCCCTGACTCCTTTCCAGTGTGGAGAGAGATGTTGGAAAGGCAGGATGTGAGGGGAGAGGCCCTCCCACCACCTAAGGTGGCAGCTCAAGGGCCCCCCAGGCCTGCCTTGTCCCACCCCTGTCCTGAGTGTGGACCACCTCCCGGAGCTGGCCAAGGTTCTGCTCTCAGAAAACACAGCCTCCCACTATTAGCGTTTTTGAGCAAGGCAATTGATATGGTTTGGTTGTGTCCCCATCCAAATCTCAACTTGAATTGTATCTCCCAGAATTCCCACATGTTGTGGGAATGGTCTTGGGGGCCAGTCTTTCCCGTGCTATTCTCATGATAGTGAATACGTTTCATGAGATCTGATGGGTTTATCAGGGGTTTCTGCTTTTGCTTCCTCCTCATTTTCTCTTGCCACCACCATATAAGAAGTGCCTTTCACCTCCTACCATGATTCTGAGGCCTCCCCCGCCATGTGGGACTGTGAGTCCAATTAAACTTCTTTTTCTTCCCAGTCTTGTGTATGTCTTTATCAGCAGCATGAAAATGGACTAATACAGCAATTCTGCTGACTCCCATTATGACCACATCCACCTTCCCAAAGCCAAGCAGAAGGACCTCTGAACTGCTGTCCCCACCCAACCCCCACCACCCATCTCTCCCTATCTCCTGGGGCTTGGGAAGGTAGGTGGGGGAGGGCTACCTTGAATTCAAGGAATTTTTCTTTTTCTCACCAAATGTGCTAAAAATCTATCTAGGCAGCAGAAATTTGAGAGAAGAAAATTAGATTTAGATAAAGGACGGGAACTATCTAAGGAAAAGGGGGGACGATGAAGCATTTAAAACACTGCTGTGAAACAAACAGATTTCTCCTTAGCTTATAGCCTACAGAAAAAGCCAGGACACTACAATTAGACCCCAACTAACTAAGAATCCCTCAACATCTACTGTGTCAGGTCTTGGGTGGGCTCTGGGCACCCAAAGGTGGCCGTGATGCACACTCTGCCTTGGAGGGGCTCACTGCTGAGTGGCTGCATCAGAAAAATAGAATTAGAGAGGAAGGTGGTTCCGGTCTATAACAGAGACACACGCAGAGCATGGGTTCTGCTGGAGAAGCTGCAAAAGGCATCGTTCTTCTCTAGTGCAATCTGGGTACCAGGAACATGGCCCCTTCTATTCCCACTGGAGCCTTCACGCTTTTCCCTCTATCTGGAATACCACAGTCCCTGCTCTTCTCATGAAAGCCTGTTTCTATTACTGGAGGTTCAGCTTAGATAATACGTCCCTAGAGAACACTCCCCTGACCGCACGCTAAGGCAGTGGTTCTCAGTGTGGCCCCTGAACCAGCAGCAACAGCATCACTTAGGAACTTGAAAATACAAGTTCTCAGGGCAGCCCCAAACCACGTACTCAGAAGCCCTAGGGCTGGGCCCAGAATCTGTGTTTTAACAAGCCCTCAAGGTGAC